TTACAAGTAGCTAATTGATTAGTTTGATAAATCAGGTGGTTAGTAAGCAGTAGCAAGACCTCATGGAAATTCCTAAATATATAAGGGTTTTTTTTTTCCTCCCTTGTTCTTCTGCCTACATCTGCAGTAGATTCAGCACCTGAGATTTAGAAGAGTATTGAGTTCTTTTGGGAAAGTATACACATCCCATTAGAAGCAATTTCTTGGGGCTGCCGTTCTTCCTGTTTCTATTTTATTGCTTTATTTCTTTCTTCAGTTTACATTTTTGCTTTGTTAATACGCGTCCTGTTTCCAAGTCACTTTTGTAGAGCTAATTCTACTTTTCTAAATGCATTGTAATTTTGGTTTATACAACTGTCCCTGAAAGAAATTTTTAAATTGAATTTGCTTTCCTTTTAATAGTTTTAGGTAGTCACTTTCCTTGTTTCTTGTTGACTTGACCCTTCTTTGTTCTCTAATAAGTACACATGCCAAAGAGGGCCTAGTGACAATGCATTTCCTTTCTAGAATATTTCCTAATTTCGTCAACTCTCAGTATAGACAAAAGAAAAAAGGTTCTTTGCACTTGCACTTATAATGTGAAAAATGAATCAATACCAACTCAGGCACCCCTATCAAAACGATGTTCAAGGGGATTTTTTCTTTAAGACCACAAATCGATTAAATGTAATTAGCTTTATTTTGTATCTGATAATTTGATATGGTTTCACAGCCTTGTCTAGAGAAGCAGAAGACTATCAGACCCAGGCCTCTTTAGTCTTTTCTGTCATCAGAAGTCACTTCAAATCAAATTCTGCAAAGAAATAACTTAATGACCTCTTATTTAAGGGATGTTTTATATTTTTTTTTTATTTGGAAAAAAAGGGCCTTTGTGGGATTCCTGGTACTCAGTTGCTAAATTCGCCTGAATAAGTCAAGGCAAGATTTAATGAATATTCCTGTGTGCTGTGGATTTAGGGATTTTTTTTTAAATTTCCTTATTATCTCTTCATGGTAACAAGCTTTTTAAAATGGTTTCTGAAGATTTCTAAAATGTCCCCCACAAAACCACAGCTCTACCATGGCAAACACCACCGCCTGTCAGAGACTACACTAGCTATGGACCGGCAATGTCTTAACATGATACCTGTTTCTGCTTAGTTTATTTGGAACTTTTCCAAACCTAAACCCCCTGATTGGTCTCTAATTCAGGGGCAGCAAAATTGCTCTATAAAAGTCCAGATAGTAAATATTTTTGGCTTTGTGGGTCATATATGGTCTTTGTTGCATCACATTCCTTCTTTTTTTTTTTTTTTTGTACAACCCTTAAAAAAACTATCCCTTGCTCACAGACCATACAAAAACAGGACATGTTCTTAATAGATCATGCTGTAGTTTACAGTCATTGGATACAGACATGCAACCTGGGGGTAAGAGGGAAATTATTTGGGGCACTTACTGCATAGAAGCCAGCAACAACTCCCTGGCTAAAGATTAGCAAGTAAAAAATATTAACTCTACTAGTTTGGTCTCTTGTTAGTTTACTTGTATTTTCCATGATGGCTAGGTCCTGTTTTTTTTCCCAAAGATAAAGACAGAAAGTAAAGACTTAAGAAAGGAGGAAGGAAGGGGGTAAAGGGAGATAGACAAAAAGAGGAAGGGAGAGCAAGAGAGGAAAAGGCAGAAAGAGTGAGCAAGAAAGCAAAGAGGGAGATAAAAGGACAAGAAGGAGAAAGAAAAAGGACAGAAAAAGAAAGAAAGAGAGAGGTAGAGAGGAGCTGGGGGGTGGAGAAAAAAAACATAGAGAGAAAAACAGAGAGACAGCCAGAATATGGAAGCTAGTGCACAGTCTCTCCTTCTTTTCCTTAGAGCCAGGCAGCTTTTAAAGGCACCTCCCCAGCTGCTTTCAAACATTGAGGTTGCTGCCCAGCCACTGATCACCATCCCAAGAAGTGAAATGTGGGCTCCACATCTGAAAACTTCCACTTGGTTTTTCACCAAGTGAAATGGAACACGAAATTCAGGGCCCAAGCAAATGGCTCATGTTTTCTTTGGGACACTTGGTCTGTGTCTACCCAGGGAAAATTTTGATGTACTGACTGACTGACTCCAGTGCATATGATTAATGTATATATAGGGCAAACCAGGATAATTCAGACCTTTTTTTCTTCCACAGCAGGTTTTCAGCCGGAATTATCTGGATGGTTGCCTCAACTCTCCACTAGGCTTTGCCAGGATAAGCACAGCCAATGTAGTATGCAGGAGACAGGGACCACTCCCTCTATCCAAGGTTCCCTTCAACACCCACACCCTGTGCAGCTGAGCATAGTGGGATCTGTCCTGACAGTCATTCCTTCTGGAGGCAAATGCAAATTCTGTCTAATGAATCTCTAAGAAGCCTCCAAAACCCTAACTGTTGCATTTGGCTTAGCTGTCAAATGGCAAATTATAATAGACAAATGAAGGAGGAGAACCATACAAATGGGAAGAAAAATTATACCCTGTTCCCTTCCCCATTCAGGAAAGAGGATAGTAAAAGCCAAAGCCCATAAATCCCAATCAAATTAATTAGTATGTATGTATATAGTTTCTCTTAAGACTGTGGACACCTGGATTGTAATTTTTTTTCTTTTAGTAGAGATATGTATAGATAGACATACCTTTTGTTTTTAAAACTATAGTTAAAAAGTAAATTACACTACATCTCAACACATAGAAAAAGTGTTGTTCATGGAGGCATAGTTTATGTGACAGATGTGCTCCTGACAAAATTTATACACATCATTTTTTTAATTAAATGAAAACTACAATTAATGAGGGAAGAATACTACTTGGAATAACCCCTTGGTAAATTATTTTGTGAAGAATTCCTCTATGAAATTAACAACTAACTCATAATTTACCTGGAAAAACTGTATTTTCATGGACTCCTGCACTGATGCCATGATTCTGGGTTTGGGTTTTGTTTTGTTTTGCTTTGCTTTGTGTGGAGGAAAGGTGAAAAGAATAATGGGAAAGATGCATGATAGTTTATTTTACTGTATCTTACAGATCCAACTTCTAATGATGAAGCTTCCCACATAACTTCTTTCTTTTTGGGAGCAGGAAGAAAGGAAGAAAATGAAGAGTCAGAGCTGTTGATACATTGGGATAAAATTTTTCCACTCTATTGAAACTTTCTACCTTTCTTTCCATTCTGTTTCACCAGTTCTCTAAGTGATAATTACAGAGTGATAACTTCCCCATTGCTGCTTGTGTGGTGTTTTTATTTTGCTTTGGTTTTTTTTGTTTTGTTTTGTTTTTATTTACTTTATTTTTTTCCAGATTTCAATGCTGATTTTTTCCCTGAATAAATAATCTCTTTAAATTCTTAAGAGCTTCCCTCTACACTTAGAAATTGCCTTACAAATAGTCATTGTAACTACTGCATGAGAAAGTCCTAAAATGTATTAAGTAAAAACCAAAACAATAGTAACAACAAATTGTTAAATGAGCAATTCTATGTGTATCTCTTAAAAAGTTTTTTGTTTATCTATAGGATGTGTAGAAAATTTACTCATTTTTGCTTGTCAAAGTGTTCTTGCTTCCTAGTGGTGGAAATAAAACCCTGGAAAAGAGAGATATCTGTAAAATACGCATTTGTAAAATAAGTTTCTCTTTTCAAATGGCTGTTTGGTGGCCCCACACTATGTACTGGACATGACTCCTTGAAAGCAGTCTGTAACCTTGGGCAGATTCGTAGTGACAAATGTTGCTATGCTTCTGTAAGCACTGCTTCTGCTAGAGGGCACTGTACATTAGACAAGGCCTTGTGCTCTACTTAGTAAAGACAGCTTTCTGTTGCCGCACCTGTGTCCAAGTCTCCATTTGTTAACACATGCGTGTGTTTCCCTTTTTGGAGGATAAGACTTTGGGATGCATGATTGCAAAAGGATTATTCCACAGAATAAATAAATCTAGAGTTAGTTGAGTGTTTTTCTACCATGAAAAGGCTATAACATATTTACCTCACTCTCAGAATTGCTCCACAAAGTAGGGCAAAGACTTCTCACCTGATAGACTCCCCCTTTACCCTTTTACAGTTTGTTCCACACCATCCCCCACCTCTAACTTCACCCCTTACTCTTCCCTGGAACAAAGAGCAGCTGGTTCAAATTAAACTCCTGGGCACACACATAACACTTCCCTATCTCTCAGTTTGAAGGGCAACATGGAGAACCTAAGATTGCATATAACAAAAGGTATTCTGAGAAACAAGCTATGATTCTAGAAGAGATTTTCCACTATTTCTATCAGTTATCTTTGAAGTAGTTCAGATACATACCCCCTAGTTGTTTAGTAGTTGGTAGTTTAGTAGTTTAAAACTACGGGAAAAACCAAAGCAAACCCATAAATACAGTGACCCTTCATTCATTAAACAGCTCCATTTCTTTTTTCATCAATCTGATGATTACTTATTCCCCTAGAGCTGTTGATACATTGGGATAAAATTTGGAAGCCTGCCTTGAATTAAATGATTAAGTAAATAAAAATAGCTGAAATATACCTAAGCTCTGAAGAGGTCAGTTTTGTATTAGTCAACAGAACACTGTAAGTAATGATGAGGGGAAAGAAAATAAGTATTATAAGCAGAGTTTTTTTTTCATTGTTCTTTTTAAGGAAATGTACTTTCTTTTTTTTTTAAAAGATTTTATTTATTTATTTGACAGAGAGAGACAACGAGAGCAGACACACAAGCAGGGGGAGTGGAGAGGGGGAAGCAGGCTTCCCGCCAAGCAGGGAGCCCGATGCAGGGCTCGGTCCCAGGACCCTGGGATCATGACCGGAGCCAAAGGCAGACGGTTAATGACTGAGCCACCCAGGTGCCCTGGAAATGTACTTTCTAAATGTGCAATACAAGAAAAGAAAATGTGATGTACCTTGGTGAAAGACTGGCTTTTGCTATATTAGAGTGCAAACCTAATGCTTTAAAGACTGGAAATGTCTTTATTTTACTCTTTCTCTCTTTCTGTGATTTGTAGCATACATTGAAGATCTCACAAGATGTGTTGAGCAAAGCAGAAGACTTATTATCGTGCTAACTCCAGACTATACTCTCAGACGAGGATGGAGTATTTTCGAATTGGAAAGCAAACTCCATAACATGCTAGTCAGTGGAGAAATCAAAGTGATTTTGATTGAGTGTACAGAATTAAAAGGAAAGGTGAATTGCCAGGAAGTGGAATCACTAAAGCGCAGCATCAAACTTCTGTCCTTGATCAAGTGGAAGGGACCCAAAAGCAGCAAATTAAATTCTAAGTTTTGGAAGCAACTAGTGTATGAAATGCCCATCAAGAAAAAAGAAATGCTCTCTCGGTGCCATGTTCTGGACTCTGCAGAACAAGGACTTTTTGGAGAACTCCAGCCTATACCCTCTATTGCCATGACCAGTACCTCGGCCTCTCTGGTGTCATCTCAAGCTGATCTCCCTGATTTCCACCATTCAGATTCAATGCAAATGAGACACTGTTGCAGAGGTTACAAACACGAGATGCCAACCACCACCTTGCCAGTACCTTCCTTAGGCAACCACCATACTTATTGCAACCTGCCTCTGGCACTACTCAATGGACAGCTGCCACTTAGTAATACCCTGAAAGATAACCAGGAACTTCATAGGAACAATTCCCTGCTACCTTTATCATCCAAAGAGCTTAGCTTCACCAGTGATATTTGGTAGTAAAAACTCTGAAGTCCTCTGAACAGCTATGTGAGCATACAGAATTTCTGCTTTACCAAGCATAAAGTACACCTAATAACATTGAGGTGCTGAAAAAGTGTTCAAAGTAAAAGGCACAGAATCCCTTTTGTACTTAAAATTTTTGTTTACATTTCCAGAATAGTGGGGTTGCGGGGGAAGAAGGACCTGTTTTCGTAGTATAGTACCTTGTTTCAAAGTATAGTTTTGATTTCTTCCTGAAAATAAATATTTAAATATCCTTTTGTTTTAGAGTAAGTTTTATGATACCATTTGGACTACAAACTTAGTTAGATGAGGTATCTTCCCCATATTTATAAATATTTCAGTATTTACATGGTATTTGAAATAAGGAAAACTTAAAGACTTGAATTTGAAAATTCTGAACTAAGATTAAGGGGAAAAGAGAACTTCTACAGAATAACTGAAAAATCAGGAATTATCAAGAAAGAAGTGTTGAAACACCCCAATTAGAAGATTGTTTGTAGAAGAAGATCAGTTAAGAAAAAATGTGATTGAAATGTTTGGAACTTCTTCAACATACTGGGCAACTCCTCTAGACTAAATCAACAGCTCATATGACAGCTTATAGTTGTATAGGGAAGCACATCTTCTGTAGGCAAACTGGTAGGTAGGCAAACAATATGCATTTCTTAAGTAAATGAATAGAGAGGCTGCTAGTTCTTTGAAGATGATTTTAAAGAACTCATGGCTTTCTAGCCTATTTCAAAAGTTTTACAAATTTGAAAACACATTTTAAGATGCACATTTTATTGTTTGCTAATAATTCACATTTGATTTTTTTCCAAATGATCTCTTGACCTGCTTTATACGAAGATGTGCGCATCTTCCTACTTTTTTACAGCATCATTGGAGTTTGAATTTAAATAAATATTAACTGCAAGTGTCAGCAGTAGAAATGAAGTAAAATAACAATATCAACAGATGAAGTGCAAAATGATGCAAGTTTACTAGTGGTAGAGCAGCAATTGCAGTGATTCTCATCTGAAATGTAGTTGTGAAACAGACTATTCTGTACATACACAATATCTTCTTGGCCATGTGTGCAAGGTTCCTGCAGAAGTGTCTCTATTCCTGGTGCTTCAAAGAGTATATTTTATAGACTAAACTTCTCCACCTTCACATTATGACCGTGACTGTACCACACCAGAATATCCCTGTGAATGATCTAAAATATTATGAATTTGCTGTAAAGTTTGTGCCCCTATTCTAGTATTTATTGTGGATTACTACTTTGTGTTCTTTCCAATTACTCAGTTTTGGTGTGTTCTCTACCAAGATGCCTGTGGGGGCCAATTTTTTATCAAGGTTGATTCTGGCACCTTGCAAATGGTTTGTAAATCGTGTTTTTGGACAAATATAAATAAGGACAGATGTACACAATATGTAAAAATTAAGAATTTGCCCAACCCTTGTAAATGTGAAACTCAAATGTATTAGAGAATATTAGATAATATGTTTTATTTCTTTCAACCTTTTTACATTATTGATTCCCTGTGATCCATGAAAGTTTTGTTTAAAGTATTTGTTTCTCCATTGCTTTTCTATATCCAGCTTCTCAGAAAATACATTATGCTTCAACAATATATATAAAAGCTTAGCAGTAATACATGTTCATTTCATAGTGGGACAATTAGTTGCTCCTTTGAAAAGTCCTGTTCAACACATATATGTGTTTCATAGATGTATTGTTTCCACTGAGAAAGGTGATTTTGCTTCTGTAAAAAAAAATGGGTATTTCAAAATGGAAATTTATCAATTCCAAACTGTTTTCCAAGTGTTATAAAGTTATATTTACTCTTCATTGTTCTTTAATGATATGTGTAATTACTAAGTTAATAACCTGCATGAAATGAGTAGTATATATGTTTAAGTGACCAATTGTATTTTTTATTATTTTGTTTTCCACAGAAGCTTAGATCAATTCAAATAGAATGTTCAGTGGTATTTTTAAACTAATAGTTCTGTATTGAGCATGCCAGTTCTGAAAATATAACATGGGTCTCTCCGCTTCCTTTATTTACAATGATTAAACGTGGGTAGCAATTTGAGTTGGCTGGCCACAATGTGTCCTTTCACTACTAGTAGGTACTCAAAAACAGAGCATTCACACTTGTGCTGGGGAACTTGACAAGAAACCTTTTTTACCATTTTCAGGAACCAATGTGTACACTATCTATAAAAATTTATTTCTAGATGGCAATTCAAAATTTGATTTTCATCTGAGATTTTTGAAAGATATAGCCCATAGGGTATAATAAGCATTTACTCTAGAACATAATATATTCTTCCACTTGCTTACACAGTAGGAAAAACTTTCTTCTCAATTTTTCACTGAAATAGATTTGAAAATTTAGAAAAATACTAGTGCAGTTAGTTCCCATATGTTCATAGCAAATTTATCTAGCTCGTCCATCAACGTACACATACTTTTAAAAATTGAGACTATTTAAAATAAAAAATTCTGAGAATGTCAGAAATTATGAGACAAATGAGAAATGTACAAAAGCAATAGATATATAGGAAGTGAAAACAACATTAAGAATAAATAGTGCTCAGGAGATGGTCAACATGTACATGGTTTTAATTTGGCAAAATATAAAATCTGTCAGGGTTGGTAATCTATGAGCTCCAATCTAACTATGGAGATTCTGAAAGGTAGCTGGATAGTTCCTGAAAAGAAGTAAGAAGATATCTCTCCTCACCCCCTCTAAGCCTTAATAAAATTAGATCCAAATCTGTTCAGCTTTCAATCACTCTCATTTAAAAAAAAAAGGAATACAAAGACACTTGTGGGCTTCTGGTAAGGCTTGAACCCAAGGTAGTATCTTGTGGAAAATTGATACTTTGAGCATTGGTAGCTAATATTGTGGGGCTTAAAAGTAAGAAACAAACTACAAAGACAGGAAAAACAGTTCAGTTATGAAAGAGAAGTTTATAGAGGAGTTTCAAGAGGACATGGAAATGATTAATATCCTATGGATTACTTCTGTAACAAGTTGAAAAATGTCAGGTGTTGTGAAAGAAGCAAATTCTGGAAAATAAAGAGAAGACTTTCTGACCCCCTTGGTGATTAAAGGGCTTGCAAGAGTATAGAACCACTAGTTTCAAGCATTTACTGCCCTTTGTCATTTTATTTGTAAATAAATTGGTTGGTTTTCACCAAATGTTTTCTAAAAAATTAAATAATGACCATGGGAAATATCCTAGAAATTGTACATTTAAATCTTTATTCTCCTTGTATTAATTTCCCAAGGTGAGGTAGTGAACTGATAAAACCAGAATGAAGTTAAGACAGAACATAGTTCCATAGTGACCAGTTAAGTTTGAACACTTGCAATTGTTGTTGCTCTTTTCAGAGAATTTCATGTTGAAAATTGTCTGGCTCAAATTTCTCTATTACTCATGCATTTTTGTTCTAAGATAGGAGGTCACAGTGCTGAATATTAAGGCTCTCTGATGAATGTATGGGGCTGTTTAATAAACAATAATCATTAGCTTCAAACCTTTTCATATAAAACTTACCTTTTTTAGAACTGAAATCAACCATAAGCAATTTAAGAAAGTTATTCAGCATCTTAATTACTGTGAAATCAGAGCTTGTAAAATCACCTGCACCCATCTAAACTTGTCTTGTCAAATATTCACTGCTGTTTGATCAACCGTTTTCTCCAGATAGTACTAAAGTCAATCATGAATATTAATTGAGTGCCTACTGTGTACTGCCCACTACATAAAGTATAATAGAAATATTTTTTAAAACTTGAAGTCCCTGTTTTCAAATAGTGTACACATTATATGCACAAAGAAAGGGGCATTTGCAAAACACATTCCAGTGTAGGAAAATTAATATTTTACATGCAGAGTAGATAAGTGAGGTGGAATGATTCAGTCCCAAACTGAGCAAGCAAATAGTGTACACATTATATGCACAAAGAAAGGGGCATTTGCAAAACACATTCCAGTGTAGGAAAATTAATATTTTACATGCAGAGTAGATAAGTGAGGTGGAATGATTCAGTCCCAAACTGAGCAAGAGATGAGTTTGGAATAGAAAGAACAGTGGTGAAGAAAGGCAATTTCCCAAGTGCAGAGAATAACACATGTGAAGATTCAGGAGAAAATAAGCAAGTTCTGTTTAGCTGATAACAAGCATATTTGGCTAGCAGGAACAGAAATCTGTGTGAGGGCATGGTAAGAAATAAGGATAGGTGAGGTGCTGGAACATTCATGTGGTAGCAGATGCAGGAATAATTAAATAGTGGAAGAGAATGGTGACAGGGAGACCAGTTGGGATGCTATTGTCATAGTGCACATATGAGGTGATAAGAGATGGAGAGTAGTGAACTGGATACTCTCAGAAAAGGTAAATCTGAGGAGAAAGAGGAATAGGTAGGATGTAGTGAAGTGAAAAGTGGAAAATTTTTTAAAAAGTCAATAAAGACGTCAAGGATCAAGAAGGTTGGGTGTACAAAAGGAATTCTCTTAGAGTATTTAACTTACCTTCTTAATTGAGCATCCTGACACTGTAAGGACAAAAATAGAGACAACATAATGATAAGTGTATTTGCTACTGGAGCAACTTTTGAAGTTTTTGCAGGAGAATAATGGTCAAGAAAGACAAAGTACTCCTGCAAAGCTGTTTTAGAAATGAGTAATTACATCATTCACTAAATATAATCTCAAATTCTCAAAGAAGGAATTGATGGAGTTTGGTCCTTCGGGTCTCATCAGTCTACTGATTCTATTTAAATTCCTCACTTCATTTTGGAGTATACAATTATGATCTGAAGATAAAGGCATTGAAATTCTTCAATTAGGGAGAACTTCAAAAGGTAAGGATTGAGGGTGTTTGTCACTAGTTTGAACATAATAAAAAAACACCATAATAGAAAAAAATAAAATAGAGAAACTGGACAAGATTTACAAAGAGCAAAAAGGGATATGTTGAAGTGTGTTGGAGTGGTAGGAGGAAGCTTACAGAGTGGCCCTATGAAGAACAACAAAAAATTAACAACCATGTAAGGCTTGAGCCCAAAGAATCAAATTTTTACCAAAATTGAATGTGGAGTGATTACCGTCTTTAAAATTACGAAGGAAAATTGATAAGAAGCATTGTATTAGTAAGA